CGTCCTCCTGTGCATCACAGTACCAGTCTACCATGCCCATTAGATTTTCTCCCTAGCTTATAGCAGAACCCTGAATAAAAAACTTACTACAAAAATAAACACCATTATCACGATTAAAATCTATGCAAAAAGATAGCAAAACGCAGATTTATTACTTGGCTCCATTACAAATGTATTTACTTCTTGCTCAGCTGAAAATAAATTGGAACGTACCGCTGGCAATCTAAACGGTTAACACTACATTGAAAAACAGTTCAACTCGGCAATCACAAGCTACCAATTTCAGTATCTGTAGGGATTTTTTCCTGACAAAAATACTTATTTTAAAAAGCCCTGAACCACTTGACATGTATCATCGCTGACACACACCAAACACCACAGTACCGCAGCGCAGCTTTCTAACACAAAGGTAATCAGTCCTCCGGTCCTCAACAGCCCGTGCAGCTACGCACGTCCTCTTCTTCGGAGCGGCTGTTCGGTCCTCCTTCCTTAAAGCACCGGATCCGGGTTGCTGTGTTTGTAACATTACACCTACGTACAACCACTTCACATTACCGTGGAGCCCAGCACACGGTCCAAAGCGGCCGTTACTAGCGGTACCTGCCGCTTATGCTGGTACATGGCGGGGGTTTGGCTCCCTCGGCGTTTCCGTCACAGAAATTCAAAAGCGAGATCACTTTTGTTTCTAGCAAATTTTAGTCTTTTTCGAGTTAAACGTGCCCTCATAAGCACACATTTGGTAGAGGCATACCAAGAGCTGTGGAAGGAAGCACTGTTCGGTGAAAGGGCCAAGTCAAGACTCACGTGGGAATCTACAGGTAACGGTAGGAATGTAAATGTACCTATGCTCGCACGAAACGTGGAACACAAGCAGGAACCAGCAAATAAATATTGAGATATTTAAACTGAAAAAAAAGCCCACCATCTAGAAACGGGCTATGCTATCACATCTAACATTCTAACAGCTACAGCTTGAAATAGCAACTTCAATTTAAGGAAAAAAATCTCACCTTTGCAAATTTACAGTTGCTTTAGATTGCTTTTAAAACAAAGTGAAGGACACTGAACGTAAATTCAGTAAGAAGTTGTTACCCTTTATTGCGATCATAGACAAGCTAACAATGGATCGAACCGGACCTGAATGTTCTGTTTCGGTAGGCAGAGATTTGACATTCAGACGCTTTATCAGCCATATAAATTTAACTATCCGCAGAAAGCTCTCTTAATTTGTCTCATCCCATTCCCTCATCCAGCTACTGTAACTCTCTGACTCTCAAGGCAAGTACCTGCCAATTTGCTTCGAGGCCAGTCTTACCATTCTTGGTGCAGATAACGTACGAGAATGCTAGAGGTGTATGGGACCAGATTACTTCAACTGAAAGCAGCAGTGAGATTTTCTTCATATATGTGAGCTCATCACCGTAGTTACCCATTGACGTTAGTGAAGAGGAATACCTGCTTCAACTACATGACGCCTCATCCTAAAGATGCTTTCTTTAGGAGATGAATCATGTTTCAGATTACCTGTTTTTTTTCCCAGTCACTATACAGAGAAACTAGGATGAATAGCTCAGATGCAGGTATCTCAAATATGAAGAAATAAGTTCCCAGTGAATAGGCCCAATATTTTTAACAAACCATTCAAAAGTATTGAAGATTTTTATTTCTGAGTGCTCATCAACACACACACAACCCACATCTCTAAAGTTTAAATCCTAAGTGTGAAATTAAATAACAGGAAACTTCATGTACATGGCATTGGTCTAAACATGAGAGAAACATACAGTTAGGGAACTCCCTTCGAAGGTTTTGGTGAAAAGAGACTGTCGTCCACAGCAGCCATTGTGAATATTTTTCTGACTCCGTTCTGTGCATTGATTCATTCTGTATTTCTCTCCTCAGAACTGTATTTGAACAAGCAATCTTTGGAAAAAAAAAAAAGTATCCAGGGTTCTCAATTTCACTACAGAATCAAGCAGGCCAGCTGATAAGAAGGAAACTTTAATCTTCTGTAATTAGCAATGGTGGAAAGGTAACGTGGGGATAAAATCCAGCACGCTGGAAAGACAGACAATATTTGTAACAACAGCGAGATACAAACCCACTTTTTCTTCACCTTTCTGTCTTCCAGGTTGTGTGTTCTGCACTATTCCAGGAGTCAGTTATGAGGTATGAAAAAACAAGCAAAAGGTTAAAACATTATAACCGTTTTAATAAAACTCACTGTATTATTTGCACTCTCAAAATATTTCTGAAAATAAAGTAAAATATTTAGCATCCTTGAAAGTCTTAAGGAATTTTTTATTAAAAATGCAGTCTTGTTTGTTGTTTCTTTTAAACCCAATTCTGCCTCAACATTATGCTCAGACATAAGTGTATCCTTCTTATTACCATCATACAACTAACCACATTGAATTTCTATAGCAGTGAAAATGACATAAACCAAATGAACCCTCACAAAAATATATACAGGTAGCCAGAAAACTAATCAAGAAGAAATCATGTTGTCTGTATTGAAGAGTAAACACCGTTTTCAAATACCAACAAAACATCCAATTTGTTGGCATGTCTCTTCCATCTAAGACTCTTGAGTAGAAGGGCAAACTGACTTCCACAGAGGAATTCCTACAACAACTTTGGTTCATGATGACCTAGAGAGAATTCATACCCCATACGTAATGCAGATCTAGTGGCTTTCTGTAAAGCTGATATGGCAGGCAAAACAGAGAAAGCTATACGTGTGAACTTCATGATGAGAATAATAATTTAAACTCAGTATGTCATATTCCAAATATACAGAGAAGACCCGATTATATTAAACACATTTATCTTCTACTATAAACTAGCTCATCCAGCCAGACCCCAACTCTTTAATATTGATCTCGTGACTGAAGTAGCTAAGTGTTCTCTATATCTGATGAATAATAGGCTATGTATCGAAAGCCTTAAAAGTCTGCTGTTTGTACTGAAGGGTGTATCTATTTCAGCATGTTTCAGATACAAAAGTTGGTACTGACTAAACTGTGCTGGTTACCAGAAGATGACTAGCCGTAGTGGTGCAGCGTTCTGCTGGATCAGTACAGATACTTATCGAAGAACATATTTATATCCTGCAAATATATTCAGAAACTAGTTTCTGAAAATTTTGTCCAGAAACCAGAAGAAATGGAAACAATTGCATCAACTCAGTACCCTACGACGAACTAGTTAGTCCTGCTGAGAAACAGGCTATATTAGCAGGAGAGGAGCACTGCACTAGCACAAATACATGCCTCTGGTACCTCAACTAAAATCGGTATGGCAACATACTATGTAATGTAGGTGTATTAATTCATTCAAAGCAAAATTTGTGGACAGCACCGGACTGCCACAGCCTTCCTGGCTAGATTTGTAGTGAGTCTGGCAAGAATATTACATTAAAGTAGCTGCACTACTTGTAGTACCCAAACTAGCTTTGTCAAGAGGATGCTTTGGTAGCTCTGCAGTATTGCAATGCGCTCTGTAGGCACACTTGGTTCTTGAAACAACTTTCAAGAACAACTGTCATTTCCAAGCAAATTTATAATGTAAAAGTAGCCGAGGTTCAAAAGGTAGTATAGATGTAGAATGGTTACATGATGGTCAGATGGCAAGGTCACACAACATCCTGTCCTACGGCAGGCATTCCCTCTACACTTTAAATGGTTCCACACATAGGTGATTTGTATATGGAGAACATTCTGCAATCTGTATACAATAATCATTGGACAAATTAGCAAAGCTGCAAATACCGCATTGATCATTTTTTTCCTACAAGGGGGGACAGAGGGAAAGGATGAAGGAATATGAAAAGAGAGGTAAAGTTCCTCAGTTTTCACGTCCAATAGCAATCTTCCAATCTTAAAGAAAAAAACCAACAAATAAATAAAAATGTGACTTCTTCCTGA